TGTGACCCCCAAGCCAAGGAAATAAGTAACTATACAACCTCTAGAAGACATTGGAAGGTAGCCCTGGATAGTTTTACTATGATTTATATATGTTGCAAGCTGCCCAGAGTGGCAGGGGCAACCCAGTCAGATGGACAAGGTATTATTATTAATAATAATAATAGTAGTAGTAGTAGAAGAAGAAGAAGAAGAAGAAGAAGAAGAAGAAATAATAATAGAATAGGACATTCCTATTTTCATCGGAGAAATGTTGGACAGAATGTTCTTCATTTTTGTGGTTGACTGCTTTGAGAAGGGAGAAGGAAGTCGTCCTCCACACCTATGCTTAGCAGCCTGCCAGCAAGTCTGCAGCTGCCCCAAAATTCAGTTCTGGGGTGGCAGCTGGGGAAGGCTGGCTGATTCTCTTCATAAAGCCACTGGCCTCCCATGGACATGGAGCTGGCCACTGTGAGAACGGGATGTTGGACTCGATGGGCCTTTGGTCCAGCTTTTCTTAAGCTCTGGAAGACGTACCTTGCTGCAGTTCAGTGGGTAAGAAGAAGAGCAAGTGACTCTTAGCTCTGGAAAATCAGATCCGTGCCCTTGGGTAAGGCTTCCCTGTGTCTGAGTGAGGCTGGGCTGGGCCTTGGCTGTTTAGGTATTCTCAGATTTCTGCTCTCCCTGCAGTGTGCTTATCTATCCCTCAGCGCCTCCTTCCTCCTCCAGTTTGGGCCTTCTTAAGTTCTGCTGCAGTACATCCTTAAGCACACAGGATTCATTTGTGGGTATCACCACCTTTTTCAGTTTATCCATTACTACTGGGCTCCAGCTTAGTACACTGCCTGCCTGACCATGGGGTGTTCATAGAATCATAGAATCATAGAGTTGGAAGAGACCGCAAGGGCCATCGAGTCCAACCCCCTGCCAAGCAGGAAACACCATCAGAGCACTCCTGACATATGGTTGTCAAGCCTCTGCTTAAAGACCTCCAAAGAAGGAGACTCCACCACACTCCTTGGCAGCAAATTCCACTGTCAAACAGCTCTTACTGTCAGGAAGTTCTTCCTAATGTTTAGGTGGAATCTTCTTTCCATTGCTCCGTGTCCGCTTCTCTGGAGCAGCAGAAAACAACCTTTCTCCCTCCTCTATGTGACATCCTTTTATATATTTGAACATGGCTATCATATCACCCCTTAACCTCCTCTTCTCCAGGCTAAACATGCCCAGCTCCCTTAGCCGTTCCTCATAAGGCATCGTTTCCAGGCCTTATGTTAAAAAAGGGTGGATCAGGAGTGGTGGGGGCTGCCCCTCCTTGACTCTCCCCCAGCAAGATTAGGCTCCCACGGTGGATCAGAAATGAGCATCTGATGTCTGGCTGTACCAAGAAGAAACCTCCAGTTTTGTTTTTTTTTAAGCACAAAACTTCAGCCTCTTTAGGTTCAGCTGGGTTATGTTTTGCTGTTGCTGATTTTAGTTCTTTTACTTTAATACTGTGGTTGTTTTGCTCTATTTTTTAACCTTTTCATGCACTTGCTTGTTTTTAGTGGTTTGTAACTTTTTGTTATTAGTTGCCTAGAGACGTTGTTAAATGGAAGGTACCCAAATACAGCGGTACCTCGGGTTACAAACACTTCAGGTTACATATGCTTCAGGTTACAGACTCCACTAACCCAGAAATAGTGTTTCAGGTTAAGAACTTTGCTTCAGGATGAGAACAGAAATCGTGCTCTGGCGGCGTGGCGGCAGCAGGAGGCCCCATTAGCTAAAGTGGTGCTTCAGGTTAAGAACAGTTTCAGGTTAAGTACGGACCTCCGGAACGAATTAAGTACTTAACCTGAGGTACCACTGTAAATAAAATAAAGCAATACCCACTTTCTTCCACACTATGTCTAATTGTAGAAACATTGCCCTCCCTCTGTCATCTTCCCACCCCCACCATTTGCAAACTAGTAAAAAGTCCCATAGGTGAAAAAGCAAAAGGCGTCCTTTTGTCACGGGCAGTGCCAGTACTCCAGATCTTTGCACCATTTGGGGCACTGTTTCATCCTTCCAGCCTCTTGTTCTTGCAGTCTGGGACTCTTTTTGTTTCTGACATTGCCTCTTTTGCTGCCTGCCTTTCACTCAGGATTATTCCCCTGCAAAGTGGTGCCTTTGCAAGCCGCCTCAGAGTCTCGCTCTCTAAGGAGTACCTCTGTTCGTTTTTTACAGCTCCCCGCTTCTCCATGGCAACATAGCTTAGTGTTCCCTGCAGAGCAGAGAATCCGTTTTATTTCCCGTGTCTTTCCCCCCTTCCTTCCCTTCTTCCCTTCCCCTGCCTTCCCCTCCCTTCCCCATCCCTTCTCTTCAACTGGGCTTTCCTATCCACGGACATGGATGTTTTGCTGGGCTTTGTCTGTCGCCCGAGTGTGCAGTGATGAGACCGGTGGCCACAGCAGTTCAGCAAGGCTTCTTAGTGAAGGATGGCAGAACGAGGGAACGCTTTGGGAGCCAGGGTGAAAAAGAAACGCGATCAAACACCGCTCTCAGGTTTTTTCCAAAAGGTAATTTGCAAATGCAGGGTGACAACACGGTTGGTTTTTGTCAGCTGGTAAAACTAAGCATCAGGGGTGGCACCCTTGCTTTCTCTCTTAAACCACCAGCAATTTTGATAATAAATATCTACACACCTGATTCAGAGGTGGAACAATAGAGAGGCAGGTTGGCCTTTCCAAGAGGAAATTTTTAATAGGCTAGTATTGTTCCAACCTGTCCGGCAGGTGAGTCATTGGTAACCAAGTGACTTGTACATATTTTACTTCTCACTTATTGCTGCCTTGTAACAAAGGTGGCTCTTATTTGAACAGTTTATGGGGAAGACTGTGAAAATATAATATGGCTTAGGGCAAAAATGTATTTTTACATGTTGGAGTAATTTGATAGCAACGTTGCTACCCTTGTAGTACAGGTTAGGTGTATATTGTTCATCTTGAGGGTTTGTTTTTTAGTAGGTGGGGATGGATGGATTTGCAGGTTTTTGACACAGTTGAGTATCATCTTGGGAGCAGCTAGCTGCAAAGAGCACCTATTGGGCAATGCCTCTAACATCACCAGACCCTGGGGCCATGTTTCATGGTTTATATGTGCTTGTGATTTCTCCTCTCCCCCAGGAAGGTGAAAATGGTAATGAATATGTGCCACTTGTAATAAATTTATTATTATTTTATTTAGCTATAAATTTATTTATGGGCCTTATTTTTGGTATATGCCTTGGAAGGCAGCTTAAATATAATAAGACACAAAATAGCATGTTACAAACAAGAAAAATGTAAAAAAAAGTTAGATAACAGTGTTGTTGTTTTAAAAACTGGCCAGTTAATCCAAGCATTAACAAAACAGCAAAGAGTCTAAAATATAATGAATAATATTAAAACATTTTAAAAACATTTTAAAAAGCCTTCCACAGGTGGTTTGGGGGCCTTTTCTCTCCCATGTTAGGCCCACCAGGCACCAACCTTGTCCTCATTTTTATGCCAAGCAAATACATAGTTTCCTGGATTGCATTGTTAAAACCATTTTTAATATGTTGATGTGATTTTATTGTATTTCTTACTTGGTTGTAAATAGCTGGAGGAATTTCATAATGGGATGCAATACATACATTCGATGAACCTAACCTAACCTCTGGATGGCTTATTGCCCCATGGCTTATCGCTTGCGAACATGTGTATAGCAACCTAGTGCATCTCACGCTGCTGTTCTGGTTGTTGTTGTTAGTTTTTATTATTATGTGTCTCCAGGCCTTACTCTCTCAAAGGGGTTGTCAACATATTGCCCTTCAGTCGTTGTGGACTACAACTCCCATCAGCCCTGGGCCATTGGCCTTCCTGGGGTTGCTGGAAGTTGTGTTCCCCAGTATCTGAAGGACATTATGTTGGCTTTCCATGATATAGATGAAGAGGTCTTGCCTTTTAGGTTAACCTTGAACCTAATTGGCTCTGTAAGTGCCTTTCCACAATGTGTCTGCCTTGGAGAAGTTTGTAGTAGCAATTCTCTTTGCCGGTGCTGTGGAATTGGGGTTTGTGACTTGCAGATGGGGAATGAGTAGTTGTGAGGAATCACAGTAGTCAGCCATCAATCAGGGTTGCCACTCACTTGGGTCTGCCGTAATTTTTCAGATGCCAGTGTATGACACAAGGGAGCGTGTTTGGGATGTATTGAAAGCAGGTAGGCTCATGGGAGTGGTGCTTGCAGCTGAGATCTGTGGAACCAGGGAAGAAGCTTTGATGTTGATTGCATTGAGTAATATGAGTCGTCATTTGTAATCTGGGTTGCTCAAAGAGTGTGGTTGGAACACAAGACTGTTTGCTTCTGTCGAAACCAGGGAAAATCCAAAGGCCCTCTGATGTTTGACAGATGAGAACAAGAAAACAAACTTGCAGAACCTCTCTTTTTGCACCGAACCAACTTCATAAGCACCCCCCCAGCACTGCCGCCACTTTCACACTTGCCTCTACTCAGTAGCAGTTTGCCATCTGTTGATTTAAAAGCCACAAAGAGTGTGTGTTTGTTTTTAGGGTTAAAGATGAATTGGGGGGGGGGGGAGCAAGTTTTCCTTTCTTAGCAACAGTTCAAAGCAGACCTTTGAAAAGTAGTTCAAAGTATTTGCAGTGAGAGATGGGGGAATCCGTCAGTTTTGGCTTCTCTCTCTTCCTCACTTTGCCAGCCTTAAGTTCAGCACAATAGATTTTCCACATCAGTTTGTGACTTTTCTTTTTTTAAAGAAGTCCTCATGAAAATTCATCAGCATTTTAGTATGTATTTTGTCTAATGTATGCATTTTTGGAAGCCATTTTTGGAAGCTATTTGCTCAGCTATAATCTGTATATTTATATGTTCCTTTCGCTAATATATTCTCAAAATTTACTTTTTGTTTTTATCTTGCTCTTCAGCCAAAAGGCTCCCAGAGCAGCTTACTGACCAATAAAGAAAAAGAGCAGTTCCTCTCTCAGGGTTTTGGTCTAAAATACATGACACAAAAGTGATTGAAGGGATAGCTCAGTTGGTGGAGCATGAGACTCTTATAATCTCAGTATTGTGAGTTTGAGCCCCACTTTGGGTAAAGTTTCCTGCCTTGCAGGGGGTTGGACTAGATGACCCTTGTGGTCCCTTCCAACTCTACAATTCCATGAAGAGGAAAATGCTCCCTCTTCCCTCCCCATCTCCTTTTCCCGATCAAGCCTGACTTGCCTGAAATCACTTGGTGCTCCTCATTGACTTACCTTACTCCTCCCAGTTTCACAAGTAGAGCTCAAAATACCCAGTTGCCTTTTTGGTCTGTTCATCTTCTAAGATAGTAATATTCCAAGACATGAATTTGAAAGCATGGCCCTATAGTCATGGTGTTACTATTTTTTGTTTAGTTTCAGATAGAATTTTTAACTAACCCTTTCCTTTTACCTTTGCCTTTTAAAACCCTTTCGCAGTGTGTGAAATACTGTGTCCTTAAGTGTTTTTGGTTTTTTGTTAAGGTGGGGATTATTGCCCCTTCCCATCACAGGTGTGTGCATGGGGGAGGGGGTTGGCTGGGCCCGGGCGCACCCTCATATCTAAATAATATAAAGTGGCTGTGCAGGTCCCTGCCCATGCTCAGTTGTAGCAGTGCATCGTGGTTAACGGGCTGCTTCTCTGCACCTTCCAGTGAGCTGCAGCCTGCACCCCCAGCCATGCCCACCTCTATCCACAAGGCTGGCCCACCAGTGGGTAGGGGTGGCACCTTCCCAGTTTGCCTCAAGTGGCAAAATGGGATAGACTGCCTTGTTTGTCCAGGCCATGAGCATCGTGGTGCATACAGGCAGAAGAGGCATGGGAAAGCTGTTCTTGCAAGAGTGGGAGCGCACTTTAGCTGGCTTGTGAGAACTGCCCACCACTTTTTGTGCAGAGAGGGGCTGCATTTATGGTGCGCTTGCATGTGGCAGCCCTGCATTGCTCATCACCTCGAGCAACAGGGCTCACCCCTCCAAGCAGACTTAAGGACCTGAGCACCCCACAAGCCGTACACCCGGAGTGTTTTTGCAAGATTCCCTGGGTTTCACACCCCAATGGAATGTGCTGCTTATGCCTATGCTAACTATATAGCTTTGTATGAAAAGGATAACATTGAGCAAGGTGGACCAGTGGTTTGACTCAGCATAAGGCAGTTTGTTCTTATCTATTCTCCTTCCACCACAATCAGGTTTATTAGAACAAAAGCTTGGGAGGTGGAGACGGGAGAGCTGGCATAAAGCCCTTTGACCATTAAGTCCAGCTCTTGGGAAAACTCGCTTGGAGTTCTTTAATGCTCCAAGCACTCAAGTGCAGTTTGGTGTTCACCCAATTCCTTCCTTTAGGATTTTTTAAAATCCCACATAGAAAATTTGGCCTTTTCTACAGTTGTAGCAAAATGGGGTGGGAATGAGGTGGTAGAAAGTGTAGTATTTTAGACTGCAGGTGGAAGGATTGCATTTTGCAAAACTCCCTTGTGGAAAAAACTCTGGGGTGTTAAAAAAGCTAGCAGAGCAGGGAGCTGGCTGATTTAGGACTTTTCTCCTTGACAGACTAGTTCTGTATTTTCCAGTGTGACTTTGATTTTGCTTCTTGCTTTACATGAGGAATATACAAAAATGGGGTCACACACCAGCAGCCTGAAGTTTTCCCATCCATCTCACCATCTCAGGGTTCTGCCTCTACATTTTGAAGCATGTGTATAAAACAGCAAGTGCACCAAATGCCAGCTTCCTTGTCTTCATGAGGGTAGCTTAGCTGCTTCAGAGCACAATTAGAACCCACTTTTTAATTGATGTTGTTGTTGATGATTTACTATTTATATTCCGCTTTTCCAAAACAACAAAACGTTGCGCTCAGAGCGGTTGATAAGGGCAGCATTTAAAATTAACAAACATTACAGCCACCACAATACTTTTGAACATGCACTAGCATATAAATAAAGCAAAAAGCAAATGCATCAATGCAATTCAATACAAACTCATAGTGATTTTAGGTATCAGAAATAGCTGCTGAGCAGCAGCCCTGTTCCAGTTGACATAAACCGGGAAGAGGCTTTTGCACCAGTGCATCAGCTGCAAGACCTTTCCTAGTAAGAATATAAGAAGAGCCTGCTGGATCAGGCCAAAGGCCTATCTCGCCCAGGATCCTGTTCTCACAGTGGCTATCCAGAAGCCCAAAAGGAAACCTTCAAGCAGGACCCAAGAACAAGAGTCCTCTTCCCTCATGTGGCTTCTTTGCAACTGGCATTCAGAAGCATTGCTGCCTCTGACAGTGAAAGTAGAACATAGCCATCCTGGCTAGTAGCCATTGATAGCCCTCTCCTCCTCCATAGGTTTGTCTAATCCCCTTTAAAGCCGTCCAAGTTGGTGGCCGTTGCTGCCTCCTGTGGCAACGAGTTCGTAGTTTTACTATACCCTGAATGGGGGGATTATGGGGTTCTCTTCGTTTTTATTATGTATTTTGTGTTTTTTATATTGTGATTTTATGTTGTGAACTGCCCTGAGAGCTACAGGTATAGGGCGGTATATAAATTTAATAAACAATGTCTTTTCTTTGGTCTGTCTTGAATCTTCAACATTCAGTGTCACTGGATGTCCACAAGTTCTATCCACTCTCTACCCAGCATGCATCATCTTACAAACTTCTGCCAAGTCAGCTCTTGCACACCGTTTTTCTAAACTAAAAAAGTCCCAGATGCTTTAACCTTTCCTCAAAGGATAGGTTTTAGTCTTAGTTTTTAGTATTGATTTCTTTTTCACTTTTGAAGAGAGGAATCAAATCATTTCTATGTTGTTTTCAGAGGGGTGGGTCAACATGTTCCATAAATGTGAGGAGAATTATTGTTGTTGTTTTTTAAAGTTTTTCTCTGATTTTTCCAATAATTGGTTGCACATTTGACTATTTGTTTATCATTTCCATACTCCAGTGGACTGTCATTTGAGGCCAAAGTGTCTGAAGCTGTTGCATGCTCCTATCACATTTTGTTAGTATGCAAACCCTCTTTTATGGCCATGTTTCCATACATAAGGCAGGGCCAGTGCAGTAAGGCATTCACATTCCCCTTTTGTCAACAGAGGTTGAGTAGGACAGAAGCAACTGGGTGGCAGGCTATGGACTAGTGGCTAAAACATAGTTTTCATGTAGACCTCCTGCTGAGTTAACTTGAACTCATTCATACAAAAACAGGGTACTTCCAGACAGGTGTTTATAGTGGGACAAATGCCTCATGCATGAAAGGGTGTTTTTTGGGGGTATTTCTTTGGTCGAGTTTCGTTGAGTTTCTGAAACTCAACATCAAAAAAACGAAGATCATGGCCATTGGTCCCATCACCCCCTGGCAAATAGAAGGGGAAGAAATGGAGGCAGTGAGATATTTTACTTTTTTGGGCTCCATGATCACTGCAGATGGTGACATCAGCCACGAAATTAAAAGACACCTGCTTCTTGGGAGAAAAGCAATGACAAACCTAGACAGCATCTTAAAAAGTAGAGACATTACCTTGCCAACAAAGGTCCGTATAGTAAAAGCTATGGTTTTCCCTGTAGTGATGTATGGAAGTGAGAGCTGAACCATAAAGAAGGCTGATCGCTGAAGAATTGATGCTTTTGAATTATGGTGCTGGAGGAGACTCTTGAGAGTCCCATGGACTGCAAGAAGATCAAACGTATCCATTCTTAAGGAAATCAGCCCTGAGTGCTCACTGGAAGGACAGATTGTGAAGCTGAGGCTCCAATACTTTGGCCACCTCATGAGAAGAGAAGACTCCCTGGAAAAGACCCTGATGTTGGGAAAGATGGAGGGCACAAGGAGAAGGGGACGACAGAGGATGAGATGGTGGGACAGTGTTCTCGAAGCTACCAGAATGAGTCTGACCAAACTGCGGGAGGCATTGGAAGACAGGAGTGCCTGGCCTGCTCTGGTCCAGGGGGTGACGAAGAGTCGGGCACGACTAAACAACAACAACAAATTTTTTTGGTCACCCATATTCTGCTTCCCCCTTAATTCAGATTTACCCTATCCAGGGAAACTCAGATAAGTAAAAGAAAAAACTTCTGTTGCCAGTGACCCTCTTGCAAATATCTCAATAACTCATTTAGAAAATCAACCCTCCATGTGGAAGCACACTTGAGGACACATAACAAAATCATTCATGGGTTGCCTCCAGACTGTTAGCCTTTTTCAGGAGTGATTCAAGTGCACACTGGAAAAGTAGGTTTGTGCAATTAAAGTGGATTGAAGTGCGCTGTTGCCCTGGTACAACAATGGTTTTTTTTTAAAAAAACAGCCTGACTTCTTGTGGTTGGACAAGTGATGGGGAAACACTGAAAAGTGTAGGATGAACAATGTATTAATGGGAAGGCACATAAACACCCCAGAGGCAAATCAGGATGAGTGCTCATTGTTACATAACGCCCCCTGCAAACAAATCAAATGCATTCTCAGTAAAGACCATATGAAGTCTGTCGTATTCTCTGCATAACATATGAAGTCTGTCGTATTCTCTGCATAACATTCGTATTCTCTGCATAACAAATCAGGATAAATATCCAATAAATAGATTGTTGTTGTTTGCTTGTTTTTTTTAAATGATATTTATTAAGAATTTTAAGATTACAGAAAAGTCAAAAAGAAAAAAAAGAAAAAAGCAAGGAAAAAACAAACCACAATCAAACAATACAAGTCAATAAAAATCAAAAGCAAAAAGCAAAAAACAAAACACACAACACATCAAAATCAAAAAACAAAAATAAACCACAAAAGTTTAAAAACAGATCCAATATTCCCAAATCCTTAACTGTCATTACCTTATTTCATCGACCTCCTCACCCCTCCCTTTTTTGTATTCTAGTTATTGATTATCACAGCAAATCCTTCCCATTTTTCATAATATTCTGTCATTAAATTACCTTAATCTATTTTAACCTTATCTTACTATAAAAAACCCTAAAATTTAAAGCTTGAGTCTTATCTATACCAATTTCTCATAACCATAACATATTCTTGCATAATTCTTTTTAACATTTCTGCTAAAGCCAAATAATTTCGTTCCAACATCTTTTTTAATACTCATTAATTT